CACTGGCAGAAGTGCAGGCACATCTGCCACACCAGTGGGCTCCCTCCATGTGGAGGGGCAATCAAAATCAGACTCCTCAGCATTACAATCCCTGCGATACATTAGCAGGTTACTAGAAGTCTATGCATTCACTGAGATCTAATATTAATTAACCTCTGGCTTTAATGAGTTGACTAGTCAAAAGATTTTAACTCACCCAGTAATACCAGCCAGCAAAGCTTGCTTTCTTGTTTTACATACCTTAGACATACCTGTGCAGGGCCTGCTCTCTTCCCACTGTTCATTTTGGGATTGCATCTACTCCACAGTAAAGGGAAAATTTATCTCATGTGATCGACCACTATATTTTGGGCTCACTCATTAGATAATCTGATTTTAAGATATAACATGTATGGACTCCCCTACAGTGTCATTTTTTCAGTGAATCTTGGCCATACACACACACACAAACATGCACCATAAGGAGGAAACAAATTCCAGACCCTTTAACAGAAACATTGCTGACAACAGGTACTAGAGAAAAGGCATTAACAACACATCCATTTTGATCATGTTGATGGTTCAATCTCTCTTATTCACAATTCTTTCTAGAGCAACACAGTTAGCAAGGCACCCTTAGGTATGAGCTGCCAGGGCCACACAGCAACTGGAACAACTGGACACATCAGAAACACGTCTCTACTGATACAAGAACTTTGCCAACAGAAGAGGTCTGAGGGAGAGGGGTAGAACCAAAGTGCAAAAACAGATGAATAGTGATTTCAAAAAGCAAAAGCACAAATTCTGTGTAATGTATGCCATTAACAGTGAAGAAAGTGCATTTTCAGTGATGTAAAACAATAGATCAAGATCAAATATATTTGTGAATGGCAATAGCAATATCAGCACTTTTTAGAACAGCCTGCCCAAAAAAAATATTTTGGCTGCAATACAGATAGAAAGGCCTAGGGAATGGCATATACATACAGACCAACAGCACTAAACCACATAAAAGTACACACTAAGAATCAAAGAGGGGTGGGAAGGCCAGAAGCAACAAGGGGCTTTGATTTAGTGCATTTAGAGCACCTTCCAGTGTAAAGACATGTACACAACTAAAGACACCATTACAAATGAGGACACCATTACTGAGAATATCAGCATGAAATGGCTGGAGTTGTATATTACAGATCTCAAAGCCAAAGAAATTCTTTGAGTAGCAGCATGGTGAGAATTGTGTAAGTTCTTGAGCCTGCTTTCTGGATTGCTGTAGATCTGTTAAAATGCTGTTGAAGACATTTGGACACAAAATCCCTATTTAAAACCCCAATTTTTTAAATAGACAACTGGAGAAATAAATTGGTATTCTTAATGCTCCGGAAAATTCTATTACCTGATTGCCAATCCTTTCCTACATAAAACAGCCTTACAGTGTGTGTGTGTAATAGTGAGGGACAATTGTGTTGTTGCTAGAAAACTAAGTTCGTTCCTTCAGCAACATTTTAAAGATAAATGAGTCTGTCACTTTTACATTGTAAAGAAAAATCACCTAATAGAAGTGTACTCTGAGTTTTAGGAATGATATGCAGAGGTTTTGAAGGGAATTATTGTCCTCTACTCCTTCTGCCTTCAGCAGAGGGTCTGAGTCAGGCCAATTTTCTAGCCTCCAGGTGGCCTGCTCTGTTACATATTCAAGTAAGATCTGAGTGATTCTTCTCTGTATGCTTCTACCCTGCCGTGCTCCTCCATAAAAAGGTCTGGTAAGATTATGGCTGTATGTCCTGGCATGAGGGAGAATGATGCTTTCTGTCAACTAAGTACCAGACATCTGATTCCTAGTGACATCCCCATTTCAATGGGCAGCTGACTCTCTGTCTGCAGGGAGTTACTAAGACGTGCAATAAAGAGAGACTAATTCAGAGTGCAAGTAAGACTAACATACATCTGCATTAAGACTTCAGACAGGGTATGAAGGAGTAAAATTATTAAAACTTATTTCAGAAACAGGCTTACAAAGCTCACCACTTCCATTGGTGACAGTAGGATTAATAGGAACATCAGACTATGCTTGGATATTTTGTGTTTCTTGCACAGGAGTGTGTATATGTGTAGATTTCCCTGTCAGGAACAACACAGGGGAACTTGAAAGCCCAAAGAAGCTTTTCCCCCTACAGCAAATAAGTGAATAAAGCCTTTACTGTGGTTCAATAACCACAGTTATGGGAACTAGAAAAATCACCACAGTCCACTGGCCCTGTTAAAAGTCGAGTTGAAGAGGATATTTAAACAGTGACAGTGGCAATTTTCTAAAGTTAGGCTTTCCAACTAGCTGTCTGCAGACCAAAATCACCAGTTTTGATACTTTTAGGCATCAGAACCCATGTCTAAAGTTAGACAGACACAGAAAATCTTGACAAAATGGACTCATCCTTGACCTATTCGTTTATTTCAAAAACCTTCTGTTCATTTAACTTACATACATCAGGGAATGTTGTTGGCATTTGATCCTTTCTCTGTGATTCAACAATGTGGTCTATGTCAAAGGCAACCAAAGAAACTGAAGGGAACTAAAGAAACACCTTCACTGACTAATCAAGGGAAATGCTTTTGGAGTTACATACTTCAAACAAAACTGCATCACAATTTCTCAGAACAAAACTGCTTAACTTCACCATAAAGGTAATTTAAAGAAATGTTTTTGCAGTCAACATTGACTGAAGTTAAGAACCACATTTTTTTACAATTCTCTCATATTACCCTTTCCTCAGCATTAGGCATTCAAAGCTGGTCAGCTACTTAGGCATTTAAAAGGTCAATTTGCAAGGTATTTTGGTTTGTTAATTTCCACAGTTAAATAGAATATTAAACCATGTTCCAAATTTACCATGAATCATGTCTAATTTTTCTAGTGCTGAGGAAGCTAATGGAGTGCAATTTCTAAATCAGGGCAAACAGTCAAATTTATAGAACCCTTGATTTTTCACTTGAGCACACAGATTTTTTTTTTTGTCTCTATCCAAACTGTATGAATTTTCTTCAAATTTTCTGTCCTTGTATCTATTCCACAAATAACTTTGCAATAATGTCTGAGTAAGTTTTGATGAATTGTTGATTTGCTTGAAGTCTTCATGTATTGTGGGATAGACCTAGAAAGGACCAGAAGTTCAGATAGAGCAAATTATTCTGAGTGTATTTTTGGCCAAGCAGACAGCCACAATGGCACGATAAATTGGGATTTGTGGCTCTAATGCCTGCTCACTCCAATATTTGCAAGCCTGAACTGTTACCAATACTACTGCACAGGCTATTGCTCAGAACACAGGGCCTCCTGTTTTCTCTCTCTTCAAAATCAAAGTTGTTCCAGAGGAAAGAAGAATAAGGTCCTTAAAGGAAGGAAAAAAGTGTGAATTCTCAACATGACTGGAATAGAACAACAGATCACTACCAAATTAAGCACATTAAATTTTCCCTATATTGCCACATATACAATTCACTAGGACAAAAGCCTATACTCTCTCTGAAATCCTTTTTACATTCACATAAGAAGATGGCGCACATTAATGGATCCTGGGATGATTTTTGAAATTCCTTTGAACACACTATGTTTCTTCAGAAGAAGAAAAGTTGCCAGACAAGATCAGGCTGATGTTGAAGAAGTGCCTTTTTACTCCTTCTGACCTAGACATGTTGTTTAAAGGTAACATTTGTCATCATTACTGCACTGTGTATCCAGCAACAGCCTAACGAAAGGTGCAAAAATTCCAGGAGGAAGGACACTGTCTTTCTGAAAGTTCAGAGCCTGGGCAGCATCCATACTTCTTTCACTCTGTGAGAAGGAACAAGGCAGGCTCTGTGCATGTCATTCAGATGGCAAACAATACCAAGTCAAGTGATGGCAACAGCAGAGTCACAATGCCATGTGTCAGGATTTCGGGCACCATTGTGATCATACCTCGATGCAGTATTTCCCTACTAGATGCAGCTTGTTGCCAGAGTGCAAGTAAACTTCATAACTGACTGCCACGAGTCAGTCCAGGAGCAGGGAATTAGCAAGTGGTTCAGGCACTCTAGTCTAGGAGAAGAGTAAAAAAGGAGTGGCTGCAGCACTGGGAGCAACGGTGCTTGTTCTCCTGCCTTGAGTGAAAGTAAACAAGTCCATTGTTATCTGACTTTGCCAAACCTCAAAGTATAATGCTAGAAGGAAAAATAAGCTTTACAGAATTGAGCATATACAACTCTTTTCTTCCCTTCATAAATTGTATGTTAGAGTAGCTGAATCTACCAAAGTGTTTACAGTATGCTATATATATAATGGCACATTTAAGCTTTGTAAAGGGTTTGGAACATTTCAGAAATGTCTCTGGTGCTGAAAAAGGCTAATGTATTACAAATCATATATTTTAATTCAGAAAAAATATGTTTGGGAATTTTGACCTAGCATTAGGGTTAGGAAACTGAACGAGGATGCCAAGAAGCATGACTGACAAATCAGTCAAGCTAGTCTGCTTCAGATACATATTGTGCAAGGCATTATCACTGCGATCAGTCACAAAAAATGCATATTTAGTTTTTTTACATTAAATACTACACCTGTGAACCTATGTAAAAGATATACAAAATATAAATGTCATCGGGACTGTATATTTCAAACTTTTTAAAATAAACACAAAGTATATATATATATATATATATGTAGGCATATAGGTTGTAATTTCAATGTCAACACTAGCACAGTTTGTCTTTTCTAAATACAGGCCAGTATACTTCCTAGTCCAACACATGCACCTACAAACACATGATCATGCATACAGCTTTACATTCTGCTGTTTGCAGAAAAGTCAGAATATACAGCACTATACATTGTTTCAACTCAAAATTGATCAACACATTGAGAAAGATGCCGTTCAAAAGAAATTCCTTGTGAACTATTAAAAAAACCCCCAAAAAACAGAGAAAACCAGGGATATCTATATTTCATCTCAATAAAAACACTGAAGACCATGGTGATGATGACCTAAGATTCAGAATGCTTTGTCCGGCATGTGGTGGGGGTCACTCTTGGACAAAACACAACAGTGTGGAACTGGTTGCTACGACACATACCAAACACAGTTATAGTGAGGCATAGAGCTTTCACAACACCATCCAACCCAGCTCTGGGTTCAGACTACTGAGGTCTCTGACCGAAAGGAGACAGAGTTGTACACTGCTCTTCTCACAGCAGGCGGTGCTGAAGGGGATCTGGATGCCCATCTCGAAGGTAGGCGTCGATTTGCTGGCCGAGCGGGACGGGAGAAGCCCTTCTCACTTGAACATTTCACTGGCACACATATCTAGAACACAAAGGCAAGTCCTCGCTTTAACAAGTTACAGCTTTTGTGGAATGCAGTGGGAATGCAGGAAGACATTTGCGGTGACCTCAGAACAGGTGGTTGGAAGCTATTAAAAGGAGCGCAGCAATGCACAGAATGCAAAAGAACAGCTATTCCTATGTACAGGGATTCTCACATCAGTTGTGGTTTAAAATACATGAAGACAAGTGTCAGACACAAGGAAACGTATAAAATGATAGTGCAAGACAAAATTGACATTTACTCTTATCTTTTAGTTTCTGTAAGTTTTTTTGTCAATGAATGCTGTAAAATATTCCGAGTGTAGAACTCAGAATACCATCTGATATTACTGGAGTAGGATCTACAAACTTCTCAGGTATTTTTTGATAGATCTTATTTCAGGAAACTGTTGCCATTAGTTCATTTTGAAGCTGTTTAACTTGGTAACTAATTCAGAATGGTTATGGTTAATACAGTGTCATGTCTACTAGCAGAGCCATAGAGATGCAGAGGAAACTCAACAGATTTTGATCATAGCTACATTGATGTAAATTTGAAATAATGAAAATAAACCCAGTGCCTCAAGCCACATGTAGTTCTTTACATCTCTGAGACATTAATTCTGCTGGACATAAAATGGTAACTCCTGGTCAGGCAGTATTCTACACTTAGTTTCTACAGATAAAAATAGCAATATAAAATGTGAGCCTGTGAAAAAAGTAATCATTCCTTTCCTCCATATCAATTGATGAAAATTTGTTTGCCTGTCAAAAGTTTATTGGATGAAAAAGAAATCAGAAGCTTCATGGCTTTTTTATTTCTGTGCTGAAGGAAAGATGTGCCTGCTAAACAAGACATTGCATCACAGCAAGGCTGTCAGAAAGACATGCAGAAGAAAATCTGCATGGTCAGATTCTCAGCTGCTTAAATCTATATAGCTCCAGTGAAGTCTGTGAATTTGTGCCAGTTTAAGGCATACCAGCTGACAGCCTAAACCCATTTAAGTTTCCCAGCTCAAAACACACCTGTCTTATCTTTTTTGAGATTCCAATAGGCATATCTCTTTGTGTTCTTTGTGGACTTTTACAGAACCTGCAACTTACAGAGTGTTTTCCAAACCATCTGCTTGTCTTTTCATTAAGAAAGAATGTTGGCAAAGGCAGTATTTCTAAACTTCTGAAAATAAACTTCAGCCAAATATAAATTAATTATTCATGCCATGCTCTTCTGTTTTTGTGAGCCTATGCTTGAATATACAGGAGAAGCTGGAGCTGAGACATGAGTAAGAGAAGGTTACTTTATCACTGGAAACTTTATGGAGTCACAATACTCTTTGTCATAGGCAATTCCAAGGAAATCCTGATCCAAGCAGCACCCTGGATACTGAAAAATGTTATCTAAGACCTCTAGGGTTTGGGGCATGGCCAAGTCTGCTTAAGCCCTATGGGAAGTCTTATGACACAACATATCAGCTAAAGGAAAGAGAGAGGGTGTTAAAACCTGGTTGAAGATCTCACTAGTTCAATCTTAGCATAACTGCACTGTAGTAAAAAAATAGCCTTGCAGAACACCAGCAGGGATAAAAATCTGGCACGTCTTCACTGCTCATTCTTACATGCTGCTGCCCTCTCACAACTCTTAATCTGCAGAGGAAATTCTCCTGATTCATTCAGATCCTGGCCTAAAGTATCTATTTTTACATAATTAGTTACAATATAATGTTAGTCTGCCCCATTTTAGAGTCTGAGGCTTGTTATGAAATGGCATTGTTTTGCTTTTGTTATTCTTATGAACCTTACCTCTGGTAACTTCTGTCTCTCTTTTCCTTGCTTGAGTTGCTGCCCAATATGCCTGGCTGAATTCCTTGGGAAGTCTTGTTTTTCTTGCTCAATCTGGAGCATTTCTAAATACTGACTCAGTGTCTCGCAACCCCCATTGGTGAATTCAGAATTTGCCTGTGTCCTCTTATCTTTGCAGCATTTTGAATTACACGGAGAAGTCGCAGTTGATTTTTCATAGTTTTTCAAAAGCTTTTCAACAACACCATAGTTGGACCTTGAGTCAGCTGAACGCGGGCGGCCGGATAAATTACTTGGTCTCCAGTCATGCTCGTGAAGCATGTGCCTATAACCACTAGTATTTGGAAGTCCATTCATGTGTTTTTGTTGCCCTGCTGTCCTGACAGCTTTGCTGGGGTTGTTAGTTTCTTGCTCCTTTGTTGCAGAGAGCTTGGGATTTGAAACACAAGATGTATTTACAGTTTCTGCCCTGCTAGCAGCAGAGTCACACAGAGTCACACAGGGTTTGTGATCTTCTGATGCTGTTTGAGACACCTGATTTTCCTGCAGAGCATTGTTACGTTTATCTGTGTGAAATATAGTCCGATTAAACTCATCAATCTTTGCTGCTAGCGTTTCATTCCTTTGGGTCTTTCCCAAAGGATACCTGGCGTCTTCCAAAAGATCATTGTGTGAGGTAGCAGGGGCATAAAAGTCATTACTGTAAAAAGGGCTGCTGTGAGACTTTGTGTTTTGTTTCTGATGCATCTTGTTGCTTTGGGCCATATTTCCATCTGAACAACTCTTTTGGGCTGACAGTGGGGAAGGCTCATTTTTATTGTCTTTTCCAAGCTTGCCCATATCATATGCCCATGTGTTGTGGCAAAAATTTGTTGGAACATTGCACTCATTTTTGGTTACAGGTATTGCAGCAGTTACCATCACAGGGACTTTCACAGCCTGACCTTCATTTGCACAGGCTACTGCAGATTGATTTTTGTTTACAGGTGAAGGATTCCTCAGTTTCCCCCCATACCAACAATCCTGAGCCTTGCAATTGCTTTTGATGCCTGGATCTCTTACGGGTGCTTCTGAAAGCTGTATGACTGCAGAAAGTGAGTTAGTTAGGTGCCGAGAAGTGCTCCGTGGAGGAACTGGTGGAGCTTCTTTCTTTTGCCAGGGTCTGAAATCTGTTCCTATGCCACCAGTAAGACTACCATAAGAAATGTCCTTCAAAGCCTTGGTGGAGCTCATCAGATTCTTTCTATTATTATGTTCCTCTGTTTCAAAAGCAACTGAAGTCTGTGATTCATTGCTGGACACATGGTTCATCTCAGGCAGAATAACTGTGTTTTGGGTTTCCTCAAATTCCCCCAGGAAAGGAAGTGACTTCATTCTGGAAATAACAGAAGAGGTGTTTTAGGGATGAGCAATAAGGAACATTACAGAGGATCTCAGCATGGATTAATTCTCCCCAGAAGCAGGTGTTTTAACACTGGCTACTTAAAAAGGTTTGGGAGCAGTTTTGCTGCAGCTGATGTACCCAGCACAACAGAAACACACACAAAAATTTTGATGAAAAGTCAGCAAAAGGAATTTGCATTCCTTTCCTTTGCCACTAAAATTCTTGTTCTGAGTTTTTTAGATGATGACTGTTTTCTTATCTCTGCTACAGTAAGTACAGCAGGATCTTGTTTTAATGACTTCTAGGAGTCGACCTGACTATGAACTGAATGAAGAAAGCTGTAGGACACAGTGTATCACTCGTTTAGGTTCATAACCTTACACATGAGATCTGCCTTTTGATATATGATAAAAAAGCATCTTTAAAAGTTATGCATCAGCTATGAATCCATTTGCTTTAAAGATACAAAGAGTAGCCCAGCTAAAAAAATGAATTAGTGACAGACTTTTAACTGATCACATGGTGGAATTTGAGAAATCCCTCTGACCTCTGGGACCACCTGAGAAGGTTCAGTTTTACCCGAGAATTTCTGCACAACTCAAGAGGCAGTCTGGTGTTTAGCTTGCTAGAGAAGACAATGAACGCTGAATTTTTAACAGATGATGGAATGTTCATTTGCCATACTTTTCAGGGTCTGACTTGCCATCTTTCCATTAGTACAAATGTATGGTTGTTCTTCCCTCTCTTGCTTTCTTTCTGCTCTTGGATCATCATCATCAGTTTCTGACACATCCCCCATGCTTAAGGCTAGATTTGGGCTTTAAGTAAGAAATTCCCAGCCTGACAAACCCATACAGTGCTGTATAAAATTACATGGCAATGGGGGCAGAGTAGACAGAAATACCTGTGCACTTTCCCAATCCTCTGTACAGCCGTTAGAAACAAATACAATTTCATCTTATATAAATACTAATCTGAATTTGTATGTTCTGTATGTAAAATCCATTTTTCTGGTAAAACCTGCCTTTGTATCATATTTCAGCATATTTCATGTGAATATTTTATGCTGAGCACTGAAACACTAGCAGGGTAGGAACTGCCCAACTAATAAACCTAACAGCAAACCTGCCTTCAAAGTGAAAAGCATAAGGAGAATTATTCATTTCCTTCCTCTAACATAAGTCCAAAGATGTTTTTACCTTCTGTGATTGGATTTCTTTCGAATTTCCTCTTGATAGCTGCATAATTCTTCACTGACTCTGGCAAGTTCTTTAAGAGCCTTTATAAATATAAAAACAGGCCTTTAATATATACATTTAAAATTGTATCTCCAGAATTAATTTGAAACTTGTGGTCATTTGCATTTAAGATTCACAGCAGAGGGAGGTAGTACGAGAAAAGATACAAAAGTGCCCCCACCTTATGAACACAGGTAAAGAGCATGCTGTTAACACATTCAAACAGTGAGAAGACACTCATTGATAGCAAACCTAGGAGCAAGTAGAGACAGTGACTTGTGGAAAGCTAAAATCAGGGAGATCAGTTCTTTAGCTTAACCTGGCAGGCCAAAGTCCTCAGTGTTTTCCTCCCCCTTGTAAGTGAAACATGCTCATACTTTACTTACTACATTGAGATCACCAATATAATTCTTGGTATTTTGATCAGAAGTTTTAATGGTGAGGCTGTCTTCAGGTTCTTTGTGGTTCTCAAAGGCCAGACTGTCCACTAACAGAATATGGTTTCTGCTGGTGTCTCTGGGCTCCTTCCATTGGTGTACACCAAGCAGACTCCCTTTCTCCATTCTGTTGTTTGCCACATTGTGTTGACAGTTCAGCTCTGCTGTGTCAGTTTCTTGCAAAGCAGGGGAATGCATGGACAGCTGCAGCATCTTGCTCTGAATGGCCTTGCTATCATGGACAGTCATATTGCTCTCCCTTCTAAGTTTTACCTCCTGGTAAAGCTGAAAAGACAATAGAACCTTCTATTAAATCATGGTATTGTAATGAGCTTTATGGCAAAGCCCCCATATTCATCTTCTGTCTTGAATGATGCTTCACTCAGCAGCACTGATTAAAAATATTCTAGATGTGTTAGTAGGAAAGTGCTGAGTCACCTAATGTGACAATTCAAACACCAGGATTGCCACAGGATAAGGCTGATACCATTCTCAAACTCTCTGCCACAATTTTAATGCATGGCTTCCACCCATGGTTGGGACTGGAAGAGATCTCACGAGATAACTGGCCCTGCCTTGAGCCAAAAGATGCATGGTTGTTTTCCAAGTAATATCAGCACACTCTGTGGTGGACACAACTGTTATCTGATGGATAGGGAATGTAGGGGAATGTGACAGAGAGAGAGTGTTCTGGCTATGTTACAGCCTATTAAAACATATTATTTGAAGGAGAGGAAGTGAATTCTCATAAAATACAGTGCCATCTGCACTAGAGCACACTCTTTCAGTTCTCAGACAAGTGGAATTCTTCCCTATGAGTGGAGTGATAAATCAGTACTGCAGAATGGCATTATTTGGCAATGTGCTGCCATCTTCTTCTTTCACGCTATCTGCTGAGATCCAGTGGCTTCATTAGTAAATGGTGTTAATTCTGGTCACCCAGCACATTCAGACTAGGAACAGTGGTAAATTATAAATTAGAAAAAATGGCACCACAACATCATAAAAATCTCTTCTGCTTACAGTATAATTTCCAGTGCCAAGAATCCCACAGCTCTGTATAAACATCCATTCTTAACTTGCTCTCACGAAGAAAGCACACAGGCACCTCTGAACAGCCATCTGCCTGCCCTCTCACAGTGCACAAGGCCATCACAACAGCTTTTGGAAGGACAGTGGAAAAGAATAACAACATGCAGAACATGTGGCCATTTCATGGGTAGTGCTGAGGATTAGAAGTATTCTCACGTTCAGAGACTTAACACTTGACCTCATCCTGGGTTTTCAGATTTCACTCCCAAAGCCCAGCTGCTCATGGAACCTGAGGGCTGAACTTTGCCATTTCCAAGAAATAAGAGCCTCATATGGATTCAGCATACCAGTAAGAAGGAAGGATACCACCCCATAATATCTCCTAAACACCACAAGTCTTTCTGGAGGAATTAAGTTAGGTTTGGTGGGCTATAGAAAATTGCCAAATTAAAATACAATCTGATAAATAAGCACAAGTTTTATTGAGGAAATCCTTCTACAGATAATGGCATTTAAAAGGTGTCTATCTCTCCTTTTCTCCAGACATGTGGCTTGTGGACAAGACATGTCAGGCATCTGAAATCAGCAGCAGCTATAGTCACAGATTAAGAGGGGATCTTAGGATTCCAATAACCTTGATGCCTCAATCTGTAGTTTTGTTTGGCCCTGCAGTAGCCAGCAAATTGCTTCATTCTCTTCCCCTTAGCCCCATTCCATTCTGTATCTCTTTTTCTGTCTCTCATGCTTTCCTAATCTCTGTGCTAATAAAGCACATGATGAAAAACAGTCCTTGCTGATATTGTCAGGTCTGCTAATAGCCAGAATACCTTTTCATTACTCTTATTCCAAATCAGCTCTTATACCTAAGAAAATGAAATTCAACTACATATACAGATCACATTACTAACTTTTGAAGCATTCTCAGCTTGGCAGTGAAATTAGGGAAGGCTGCACAGGAAAGTCCTAACACAAAAGACAAAATGTGGCAAAGACCATCATACCAAAGTCTGCAAGAATTGTGGGTAAAATATAAGAGAGTTGACATCATGGAGTTCTGCTGCAGGCTGGTTTCATAGGCAGTGTATGGCTGCCATTCCTTTGGCCCTGACCATTTTCCTTCTCAGTTTCATGTGAGCAGTCTCTGCCATACATTCCTGTGCTGCTCAGCCACACGACAGTGCTGGCAGAGAGCAAGTGAAACTATTCCATGTGTATATTAGATGAAAAATGTGGAAAGCTCACTAGTGAAAAAACTTGCCTCTACAGGCTGCCAAGCAAACTCAGTTAATGCATTAGAGAGTGTCAGAGGGTTTGGCTGCAGGGACAATTTGGGGATAAAAGAGTAATAAATAATTGCTGTGACTATTTCTGGAAGGAGATGCACTGCAAATAGCAGGGTCTGTTTGCTAGTATGTGTAAACACAAGTGGTTTCAGAACTTTCATGCTATTTACTGTACCTGTTTTCTCTCCCAAGAGTCATCCATAAAAGGAACAAGTTATAGCCAGAATTATTCTGTGTCATGCAGTATTTCTCATATTATGATACCTAATTTTTTTTTTACAAAATATGCACTTTCTAAACCCCATATTGTTCAGTATTTACTTGAAAAAAGCATGTGTAATATAGGCAACATGGCTCATGCCCATGACTGAATTGTCAGCAGTATGTACAGCCAATAATCTCATAGCTCACAAAGCCACATTCACATCCTACCTTGTATTCATGACTATTAAATGATCAATTGCAAATACTGCTTAATCCCAGGATTTTCATCCTTCCATCAGCTGTTAGAAACTTCCCGTGACACATAAGAATTAGGATAAAATATAGAAAAAAATCTTGAAGTGACTCAATGTCACTTCACCCCAAGCAAAAATGGTAGTGTTCAGATTTTTGTTTAAAAGTACCTCTTCTATTTTCTTCTGCATGACCTTCCATTGACATTCCCATTCTTTCCTTTCATTGTCAAATCTCTCCAGCAATTCCATTTTTTCTTTATTCCAGTTCCTCTCAGTATTATCCAGTTGTCCATGCAGGTCCATGGCTAAAGTCTGCACAACAGCAAAGACAGCTTTCCTTTTTTTCTTTCTTCCCTGAATGTTTCCTGGGAATTTAAGAGAATAAGTCGTACTTATACTTTATTTTACCTTTCAGGGAACAAAGACAACCAATAAAATTCCCAAAAATAATAACTGAAATGAGCCTGCAGGAGACAGTATTATTGATATTTGTCTGGAGTGTGACTCAAACATAGGACATAAACCCAAAGGTAGAGATGCCCAATCTGGAGAGGGGAGGTGGAACACATTCAGCATGACAGAATTCAGTAACATCTGCCACAGCAGGCTTTGTACCATGATCACTTTGCATCTTTGCCATTCCTCTTCACCATAAATGTGTTTTCAATGAACTTGGGTCTGTACAATATTGAATGGCGCTTCAGGACCTTGGGATTCTGCAATATCTGCCCTTGGGGGTGAAAGCTATTTTTATATCTGTTCAAAAGACAACTGTAAAAGTATCATGTTTGCTCACGCACTCCCTGCACACACGCAAGGAGCACGACAAGGACTTGTACATTCTTTGGGCAATTGAGGACTGCAAACTTGATATACTCAGGGAATTCCCATGGCTACATAAATGCTTTGGAATTCATGAAGAAAGACAGCACAGGAAAGTTAATAACAGGTACAAGCACATAAACAGTAGAAATTGTTTACATAGAAGGGACAGAAGGTCACCAAAAAGGGTTCAAGAATTTTGGGTTTACAGATCTAGATCTATAAATGTTAGTTTCATGATCAGCATAGGAAAAACTAGAACACATTCTTCAACAGCACTAACTCCAATCTTGTTCAAATCTAGTTCAAAACCTTTCTCAGAATATTTGACTAATTAGAGCTTCTGTCTCCCCCTTTAGAAGTCTATCATCTTAGTGTTTGCAAATGAAAAAAATATTAATTGAACCAATTAGCTGGCAGGTTTTAAGGGAAATATTTTAGATCTGCTTATCTGACTTTGGAGCAAAGCAGTTACAAATCTTATGGGCCTGGTGATTCTCTTGCTTCCTCTTGCTTTACACTAGAAACCCCATTACCATCAGCACATTTACTAAGCCAGCAAGTCTGAAATAACACTAATTCATTCTGTTATGATGGCTCCTGGGATATAATGCATCGTACAGAGGCATTGATACTTGAATTTGTTAACTTCAGCTCTCAAAGCCAGTTGTTGTGCTACCTAGGTGGTCAGGGAATCTAGTTCTAGTAATAAAATGCCTCTGCATTGCTTTCCGCTCCTGCCAGAAATCAAATAGGTAGGCAATTGAATTATCAGAGAGTCAAGTAGGAGTAAGTCCAGTTTACCTTTCTGTAATTTGTGCAGACTAATGTGCTGACTGATGATCAGTGATTGTCAACTCACAGGAACTGCTGATTTTACTGTCCACATTTTCTATGATAGAGTAAAAATTAATTCCTGAGCAAAGTTCTTCCCCAATCCTTATGTTACTGGCACATCTTGTTGATTTAGCTGTGGTTAGTTACCATGTAACCACCATTTACTGTGTCTGCTTCATTTCAGCTGACTAGGAAGACAATGTCAAACTTAGAGTCAGCTTCTTTCATGTACAAGTAAGCAGAAGAGCTCAGATGAAATCCAACAGGTTACTTAGGTCTTTGGGTCATAGGAAGTCCTCCCACAGTACCTCCCAAACTCACCACAGACCCAGCCCAAACTCAGGGCTTGCAGAACAGTTTACCCCAAGTGCCTGCCTTGGAGCTCTGAAATTACAATCTGTCCCTCAACTACCTACAAACAGATTTCAAACCCTTCTTCTTTCCCCTGCCTAAAAACACACAGAGCAACTCCATAAAAACATAAACCACCTTGAAACTAGGAGCTGCTGAAAGACAGCACAGAATTCTCATCAAAAAAGAAGCCAAGTACTGGTTTGCTCACGGCCTGTTAGGGAATGCAGCCAGGCTGCAGAGACTGCACCTCTCTAGGCCAGTGTTTTAGCTTTGTGCCAGACTCCAGTAAGCATTGACCAAAAACAACTTGCAAAAAAATTCTATAAGACTTAAGATCCTTTGCAGTCTAAGCATCTCTTGCTAATGAACTTTAGGAATATTGCAGTACTTTCTCACCTTGCTAATTCAAAGGTTGCAGTTTTTAGCACCGCCATTAATTTTTTTTTTTTTTTGGGTACATTTATGTCTTTATAACCTTTCAGAATACCTCTGAGAAATAAACAAAAGTCAGCTCTCTGCTCCACCATAATCCTTATACAAATACACATCAGAAAAAAAATGAAAAACCCCCATGTGTAAATGCAGTACAGTCATGAACAAGACAGGCAGACATAATCTGTCAACAACTTGCACAAATGGTGATTTTGTTAGTGCACTACTAGTAATAATGACCATGCTTTAGTCAGCCACATATAATTAGAAATGTCAATACTGTATAGCATATTTGTTTTTACACACATAAGAATAGATATAATATGTACTCCTTTCAAGCATGAATATAGCATTGAAAAGGCCTCTGGTGTTCCCTTAGTGCTGGAAACTACTATTGCCATGTTGGCACTCATCTTAACAATTTTCAAATTGTTTCATATGGAACTCCGATTATAAAAAAAGACTGAAGACAGTCAGAAGGAAATCAAGTCTTGAAAGAGGATAATTACAGAAGTTACAGATGGTCACTTGTAGCTCTAAGATCCACAAAAGGCTTGTATTGTTTCTTAGGCTTCTCTGATTTCCTCTTGACATAAATTCTGAGAAGAAAACTCATGTTTATTGATGTTAGCAGCTGGATGACTATACAGCTTTGCTGCTATTGTACAGTGGATCAGTTCCTCAGAGACTTTGACTCCCATTTCTACTTCTCTTTGCCCCCAATTTTTCTTGGTGTTTCCTTTGGGGTTTTTTGGGGTTATTTTGGTGGAGTACAATGTGCAGTCCTGGTAATACACACTCTCTGTGTATAGTGCATTGAGATTTCCCCATGGGTATTTCACATGGCTAAAGCAACCCAAGGCATGCAAAATGTCACATTATCATTTGCTCTGTGGATCAGAACAATATCTATGCTCTTGCAGTATTGGCAATTTCCCCATGTCCTAGACAAGGTCAGAAGCTCATTACAGCAATCAAATTAAGCAAATAATCAATTTTGTCTGCACCAGATGCATTGTGCTTTAACTTTTCCTTTAGCCCTTCCTTCTCTCAAGCAAAAAATGTTTTAAGCCACTATTTGATGTTAGTCATTATTCCCCCATATCTTACCCTTTCTAGCCAGATATTAAAAATGCAAGATACTTTGAAAACAACCTCTAGCAACTTCTGAAAATAATCATCTTGACATCAGCTAAGAAGTTATTTTGCACCAGAGTTTAATCAGATTGGATGTGCATAATCATTCAGATACACAAATCTTCCCTTGTTTTTATAGAAGAAAATGCAATCAAATTATTTATTATTATTATTTCCAAATAAGTGCTGTATTTTGGATGACTAAGAAAATTGTAAACCTATGTATTTGTTCAATTATAAATGTGTGCCATGTGTCACGATAACATGCACTTTATACATTAAAAGAAAGTACAGTTGAGTGGAAGAAGGAAAAGAAAAGAGGAAGAAATTAGAGAATGAAAGAAAAAAGAAAATGGAAGAAGAAAAAAGAAAAGGAAGAAAAAGAAAGAAAGAAAGAAATGACTAAGAAAATTGTAAACCTATGTATTTGTTCAATTATAAATGTGTGCCATGTGTCACGATAACATGCACTTTATACATTAAAAGAAAGTACAGTTGAGTGGAAGAAGGAAAAGAAAAGAGGAAGAAATTAGAGAATGAAAGAAAAAAGAAAAGGGAAGAAGAAAAAAGAAAAGGAAGAAGAAGAAAGAAAGAAAGAAAGAAAGAAAGAAAGAAAGAAAGAAAGAAAGAAAGAAAGAAAGAAAGAAAGAAAGAAAAGAAGGTGCACACAATACTGTCATCCCTGTTCTGTTACTTTATCTCTGCCTGCACTGAAAAAACTAACTGAACATTAAGAATAAAGACCATATATAACATATATGAACTTCACATTATATAAATGACATTAAGAGGGATGTTTAAATAACTGTTTGCCACATTAGAAATTTGCCTTCTTTTTTAATCTTAACTTAATCAAAAACATTAAATTTAAAATAAACTGCAACCATACCTTTCAAGGAATAAGAAATCCTTTAGGAGTTTTTCAGTCCATTTCCAGGCAGCAGAGAAAGTAATGAAACACACAGCTAGCAGGGATCCTGTTCTGTGAATCTTGATCTTTAAAAGAAGTAAGAAAGCTAAGCAAGACACAACCTTTCAACTGGGGCAGCATTTGCAACTCTCTTTGAATAAATGCTGAACTTTTGCAAACTGGAAAACAGTTCCGTTCAGCATCATCCCCGCAGCTGGCTTCCACGTGACGTCAGTGCACGGAGGATGGTTTTAAAGCCATCTCTTCCAACCCCCAGCTCTGTAACTTTATATCTCCTCATATTTTGTGTAAACAACTCCAAGTCCGGGACATTTTTAGGTTTTATAGTTCAGTCCAGTCTTTAAAGCTTGCCGAAGCAGCTAGTGTTAATATCAAAGCTGTGACAATAGGCAACTTTAGGTTTCTTTTATTGTTGTCTATGCTGTAAAGGAAGATTTTTTTTTGCTGTCTTCCAGACCCAGTTTTCAGGGTTATATTTTTTAGTATGATCATTTTGAGCTTTGCAACTTGATCCTCCTTAACTGCTTTGTAAAAGGAGTTTTGTTTAAAGCAGTGATATTGTTGGTTAACAGTTATCTTAAAGAGCTAAAAGCAGACCACTCCTCCCTAAAATCCCTTTCTGTACTCTAAATATGCTCTCAGTTATGAAATGCAGAATTATTGGGCACTGTGTAATCCTACTGTCTTGCATTCTGGGAATGGCAGTAACGGTTTCTTTGGGATATACCCAAATATTCTTGATACTTTATAATGTTCCTGGATCAGATTCTACAGTCTGTTAATTCACTTTGTATCTCAGCAAAGCAAAACACTTGAAATTGGATGAAGAATCTCCCTTGAACAAGGAAAATCATCTCTGGCACAAGGCTGGTAAAGAAGGTCCAAAAACACCTTGGGCTGGATATAAATCCCTAGGAGTGTCCACAGCAAGTGTTGGCATGGGATGAGGGAAGGGAGCGTGACAAAAGCAATCCAGCAAGCGAAAGTCCACAGGAGACCCTGAAGCCAGAGCAGCAAAATTCAGCTGCTCCCCCTGCTGAGCTGCAGGCAGGAGGAGCCTAGCTCGCTCCTCAGGTCTCTGACCACCGCAGTAATTCTCCTGCTGCACTGTGGGTTAAACTGCTCCCATTTTTTGGCAGCCCGAGAGAGACCCCAGGGGAGAGCTTCGCACACACCACCCTGCTGGGTACTCGTGCTTGAGTGTGTCTGCGGACAGCAGCTGAGACCGAGGGCAAATTCACCTTTTGGGAACATTTTGCCCCGTGTGTGCCTGGAGAAGGGCCACAAAATACTTGATTGAGGCAGCATAAAACTGGACAAATCCTGCTGTCAGACAGATGTCTTGGAATGCCCTAAGCAGGAATATATTTCTATGGGCAGTGTGGCTGACGACAAGAGGATCAGTGAAAAAAAGAGCATGATATGAGGATTCACACATCCTTTGCTTAGTCAGCATTCTCCTCATTAGAACAGTAAGTTTTTATCTGAGAAAATCCTTGAAAAGATTCAGTATAAAGATTTGAACTCTGGGTGCGTTTTATAGTAAATACCAAACCAGGTTACAGGGAAAACACATTTTTCATCCTTATATGGTCTAGCTGTAAGTCTCAGCAAATACATTAATTGGGTGCTTATTCTGCTCCCATGTAACTTAAATAATGGGACTTGGGCTATTTGTAAAAATTGTAAAGATGATCTAAAAACTGAACAAATGTTCCCCAAGTACACAACTGAATGTTCCTGAAGAAAATCCCTAGACTCTAAACTCTGAAGATTTAAATCTAAAGAAACAGTATGACTTTCTTTGGTGAGGTTAGGTCTCAAGTTCCGACATGGCTGGGAGTGAAGCTGGAGAGCTTGGGGGCAGAACTGAGCCCACAGCTGGAGGCCAGGCATCAACGCACTGCCTCCTCCCTGAAGCCAGCACAGCTGCACTACTGCATATGTAGGCAGACTCTTCAAACATGCTTTTTTACTCTTATCCATCAACAAAGGCTATTATTCTTATGTCTTTAATATTGCTAACTCCATGCCTCTTGCCTTGCTACGTGGACTCTTTGAAGTAAAACCAGTAAAAATAAATAAAACAATGGGCTAAATCCCAGGCTTGAGTTCTCAGTCAGGAAAAAGCCTACATTTCTGTCAGTGTGAGGAATTAGAAATGTGTGAGACTCAGGGGCTCACTGGGAGACAGGCACTGGACACACCGCATAGGTCAAAAGAACACATTAAATTCATCCTTATATGGAAAAGGTGAGACAAAGAAAACATGAAGTGAGTTGTAAAAACATGGGATCATTGTTCTATATACCCTTAAGTGTAGCAGTAGAGAATTCTGCTTTTGAGGACAAGAAATTATTCAGTAGAGACTGTCCATACTGTCCCTCCTCCAGCATCAATAGACAAAGCAGCAAATGTAGCTTCTTGGTATCTGGCACAGATAAAATATGCAGGAAGACTACTGTAGGCTTATTACATCCAACATATTGCTTCCACAGGAAATATGTATTTTGTCCATGTCTGGTACCAGCACTGCTTGGGTCAAAAGTCAGCACCTCAACAAAAAAAATCCAAAAGTGCAAAGGCATTTTAAGCAAGACCTCTGCTAAATTTCTCTTCATCATGCAAGACTGGAGACAAAGCAGCATGAGTTTCATCATGAGCTAATAAAATCTATTGAAGACTACTTCAGGGCATCTTTGGCTGCACCAGCTTGGTTATGGCAGACCCATTCTGCCATGGCCACAAAAGCTATTGACAAGAAGGAAGAAGAGCACTGCTGCCACTGCAATCAACCCAACCTCACCATTAGACTCCTGAATTATATGCACCTTGATAATCCTGGTATATACGCCTTGGGAGTGGCTATATACAACAGGAAGTGGGCAGGAGGGAATACAAGCTCTGTCTCCTCTTACTGTTGTGTGCTTCTGCAATAGGATATACCTCAGAGGAGAAAGAGAGCCAGCTAAGTGTTATGTCATGTCGCTGCTCCAAGGTTACATTGGAAATCTGTGGCAGATACTTTAGATGTTTACTTTAAATAGAGCCACCGTAATTTTCCCCATAGGCAACTGCATGTGTAATGGCAAAAGTTGGATTTGAATATCACTTCCCCTGGCATTAAATCAGAGACAGAAATGTAAGCCAATGGGAACTACGTCCCTGATACTGATGCCTTTAGAAGTCTCCTACTCACCTATCAGATTCTGGGGTGACTAAGGAGAAGGGCATGTAATACCCTGAAGCTCTGCTTGTTTTTGTAAACAACTCCTGAAGTTCATGTGCAGTTCATCTCTTTTTATAACACATATCTAGACAGCCATGTTTTTGGCAATTTTCTATTTTCCGACTGCCAGGCATAGCTCTGCACTATAGCACCTGCTCTCTTCTAGTTTTGATTCTGAAGCACTGGTGACATGTGTCAGCAGACACTTATCCTATCTCTCAACTGGAGCTTCAGGCATGGATATTTTTGGTTGAAAGAAGTATTTCCGAGCCTGGAGAAAATGGTCATTCTAACACAATGAGAATTTTTCAGTAGCAGTAAAAGAGAATATCTGTAGAGGGACTTTGTGAGGGCATTCAGAGCCAGCTCTAAGCAGGAAACAAATTTAATTGAATTTTTCTGGTAGCATTAAAGGAAAAAATGCACCTATTCCCTAAAGTACATAAAAATTCACTGGAGATATTGCCAATTTCTACACGTGAAAAAATATCATAATTAGATCTACAGAAGGAAGATATTTTCCTTTTAAAAGAATACAGACTAAATCCCCTGGGAACATAGGAAACAGAAATTTAATATTTCAAGGAAGTGCTAAATGAAGGCAATTTCACGGTTCAAATTCAATAGCTTTTTTCTCCTGGAACATTAATTCTTCACCAGAATATTCCAAAATGGGAACCGTGAATCTGCTAACTGAGATTTCAACTGATAGGCAACCTGGCATATCCAGCTCCTTGCCACATGCAAACAAAATCTGTATTCTTCTTACTGTTTGTCTTCACAACTCTGAGCTGTGCAGCAGGCAGAATCAGTGAATCAGCAGTGTTCCGGCTGTCTCTGCCCTGCCTGACTCCAATGCACTCCTGCTTGAGGATGCTGATGTATTCAGCTGCATTTGCTCACTCACCTGTGAGATGGTCTTCACCCACCAGGCCAGTTACAGAGTGGGGAGAATCTGCTTTCTTTCTTGGCAAGTATAATTATTGCATTTCGTAATATCAAGTTATTTCAATTTAGCAAGACATAGAACACTTATTTTTTTGGCTAGATCTTATCTTCTGGCTATGGATAAATGGCCATACTCATTCTATTAGCTTTCTCAGCATCTTTTAAAGTTGTGCAATATCTGGCGTGAAACAGATCAGCAGCTCAAATTACTCCCTTCAAATGAATGCAAGAGGACAAGAAATACACATCTCATTTCTCACTGAGATTTCTCTGTGAGGATCCTCACTATTCTCCTTGCTCATGAGAGATTCAAGGATTGTGTGGAGCTTCTAAAATAATTTTGTATGCTTTAGTGTGCGTTAATTTCAGACTGCTGCCTGTGCAATAGCTCCCTAAATGTCCCAAAAGGTCTTGGCCATGATTTTGCTGTTTTGATGCCTGATGGAAAGCTCCAGCTTTTATGCAAGAAAAAATACAGAGAGAAATCAATGGGGTTGTAATTGCTGTGCAGAGATTACCTCCACCTCTCATCTCAGTAATTCATTCTTACACTTTTTGATTTCTGAGAAAGAAACTAATCTTTCCCAATTAATTTCCTAGGTTTATTCAATGTATGAATTCAGTGCATTACTACTTTAGAGTATTACTGTTACTGATACACTCTTTGTAAATCAAACCTTCTCTACACATTTTTATTGCATACAACACCAAGAAAGGTATAAGCAAGTGCGGGTTAAAAACTAAAAGCCCAGAACTTCAGATCTTATATTAAGTACGACTTTTTCTCTCTAATGGAAATTGAGTCAGTAACATTTAAGAAAACACAAATTATTGGCTTTTCCTCCACAGGAGATATTAAAACAGAAAGAAACTGAAAAAGTGAGTCTTGTGCTAAGATTTGGTATCAAGTTTAAGCCTCAAATTGTTGTATTTTTATTGTACAAATTGCAAATCCACGGGGAAAAAGCCCTCTAGTATTTCCAGCAGCTGATGAAAAACAAAAGGCCTTTTCCAGTTACAGAAATTCACTGTGAATTGATCATATCTTACCATAATAGTTTTAAATATGTGGAACTTAATTTTAGGTAACTGCATAAATTAGAGCATCTTAGAAACTCCTCAGAATTACTTTGGGCCTGTCTTTATCCTTAACTGGGAAACCAGTCAAAGCTATCTATTAATCTCACATATATTGATTATAATCTCCTTTAGATATCCCACTAACTATAAAATGGATAATGATGACAATACCCCCTTGTATAAGTATTTGGATTAAATCAAGGAGTTGAATGATTTAGCTGATCAAGGTTACTGCACCTGCAGAGTGTGTCGAGGGAAAGCTAGACAAAGAGAAAAATACTGTGTTTCTTAATAATGAATATTTTTACTATTTTTTCATTCTCATAACAAAAAAAATATTGCCCCATATCTTGCCGCTCTCTGAGGATTTTCTCTCAAAATGGTGTCTCAGCTATTTCAGGTAGCAGAGTAAAACCTAGGCATGGAGATGAACTGTTCTCACTGGGGAATGAATTAAGTGAACAGAGAGCTAACATGATAAATCAAATTGAATCCTTACCACTAGCTAGAAAAACAGCTAGTTTATTACCACTCTTTACTACTACATTATTCAACACGGAAGCTGCAGAAAAAGAAGTGTCATTAATACACATACTTGTTCACCTTCTGAGAATTCATATTTGTGGGACTCAGTGGTTTCAGCATGGGTTGAGTAAAACAGAAAAATGAGCTCCATCAGGCATTTCAGATGAGGTTTCATAGTGGAAGATTTACTGCTTGTAGGAACTGCTATGTAAGTGAAAGAAAGGAGTCACCTGTATTCTTACTTCAGCCTCTCCCAGGCAAGAAGGGAATATTCAGTGACTGTTGATGCACACCCATGCAGAGAAGCTTCCCTCACTATGGCCACTAGCTACCAATGGCACGGTTAGACAGGGGTCACTCAGCAAGCCAAGAGTTACCATGTCCATTCAAAACTCCTGCTGAAATCTGGGGAGAGAACGTAGAGCCGTGGTGGCCACAGACTGGGAAATGTTACCTGACAAACTCGACACCAGCCAAGGTGACCTACACCACTCCCAATCATCATCAGTTCAATCAATCATCAGTTCAACATCAATCAGTTCAAGTCAGACAGTAGCATGGCCATTTTTCTAGAGCACAGAGAGAATGCAGCCAGCCTATATCTCTCAGAAGACTCCTCAGCTACTCTGATACCTTCTCCTCATGCTTCTCATTCTCAGAGGCTCCAGCTCCTGGCCACCATTCCAGATATAGTGCTCTATCTATATAACAACTATTTTGATTGGGCCTAATGCACATAATACAGTGCTGAAAAAACATTATCATCACAGTTATGCAAAATATACATACAAGCTCTGATATGAAACTGCAGAATATACACAGAATGTGGCTTTACTATTCATATGTGGCTAGAATACAAATTATTTTTCTAGGAGTGGGAAGAGGAAAGTAACAGAATCCTCACACCCACTCTACATTTTTCTGTTTTGTTTCTGTTTTTGTGCAAATTAAGGAATATTAAATTGGTTCCAGTACTCAGGAAATTTTCATTCAAAAATTATAAAACCAGACAAAGTGAAAAACTCAATTTTCTGTTTGCTTACCTGGAATACCACAGTGAGCAGGTGTCCTATTCAACAGGGTGACTTTTTGGTATGTTTTTTTGCAGTTCTTTTGGTTTGGATTTGGTTTTGGCAAACAAGTAGTCTTCAGTGTTTTTACAGCAGTGGCTATTACAGAAACTATGTCTCTTGCACTTCTTATCTTGGAGGGTGGACAAAATAAACAAACTGAAAATAACACTACAATGAACAGTAAATGATGAATGATTTACAGTACAAAAAACAGTGTAAAAAGGAAGACAAGTTTAAATATTGTTGTGTATGAAAGGGATGAAAATAATACAAGGATGAGAATAAGTAAAATGATAGGCTGGAACATCTGGGAAAGTAAATACAAAGACAAAGAGAACAGTCAATTAATGGAATAGCAAGTCCAAAGTTTCAACAAAATAAATAGTGAATCAGAATATGCTTGTGGAGGGACCAAGTGCCCATCTCCCATTCACTTCAGTAGCAGTTCTGCATGGTCAAGCCCTGAAATGTCCAATTGTTAAATATTCAATTGTTGTTATTTTTTTAGAGAAAATACTAATTAGTTTGTTTTGAATTTGTGTAGGCCCATGCAGTGCTCTGCCTTTAAGCTAATGGGAGCTCTACAAGCTCAGAACTACTGCTAGATCAGGAAGTGAGCATGCTAAATGCTGTCTCTGTTTGATTTCATGCAATACATGTATAGTAATTGATTAGCTTTAAACTCACTGCGTCTGTGACTTTCTGATACAAGGAAACAAAAGACTAATTAGTCAGCATAGGAATAAGAATAGCTTTCAGCTTCACCTGGCAACTACTTCGACTGTAAACTAGCAAGACAGCACAAAGTAAATTAACACAGCAAGAGACTTACAAAACATTGGATAACTTCATTAGCAATAACAAGATATGCCAACTATAGGATTGCATGATAAGATAAGGGTAGGTAATTTTCATTTTTCATGGCAAAAGATCTTGAGTCACCAAGGAGTTTGCTCCCCAAAACCTCTCTGAAACAATTCTGCACAAAAACAAACCACAACAAAGATGCTTGTTACTGCTGCATGCAAGCAGTGATCAACAGGCCTTCAACAAGATGCAATCTATTACAGAAATTACAATATCCACATTACTGTGTGGCTTTGTGATTCATAAAGTAGATTTGCATGATTTCTTTTAATCTGTGGTTTGCTATATTCTCTACAGTTTTTGAAATTTAATATTTCCTCCTGCTTAAAATTAATAAAATTTTCCTTTTAATCATTTAATAGGAACCCATCCACTAAGAAAGCAATCATGACCATTTATGAATCATGTTCATATGTACCAAAAATACTGTTTGCACTGCCTTTAGTGGCAATGAAGGCCCAACTCTGTCAAATGCAATTGCAAAGCTAAAAAGAGTAAAATGTTCTATCTCCTAGAGCATAATTTTAATTTTCAGGAGACCAGATTTATGCACTGTTCACAAACAACCCTATTGGTAGAGTATGTTTTCATATGGCCAAATAAGAATTTCAAGTAATATAAGAAACAGTGATTATTGTCCACTGCTTAGAATAAAGAATTTTCTTTTTGTGCCATAGATCGAATTTGAGGTTTAATTTGCTTGGCAGAGCCTTTTTACCTGTAGGCCGTAATAAGTAAAAGTCTACCTGACTCACTGACAAAGGTTCATCGGCACTTCGATCGTCCGAAGACTTTGGAACTTCGAGCCTGTCGATGAAAGCCTGGAGCTCTTTCCTGAAGGCCTTCATCTGCGCATTGATCCGGTACAGGAGCTCATGCTCACGTATTCTGCTGCCATCGTCTTCCTCATCCATCAGTCCAAAGAGGTCCCCGTTAGCCACATAAATTCTTGCCTCTGTGATGATGGTGCTCGTGTCGGAAATTAGGCGATCTATTGTCTTGCCCAGCCGCTCAGCTTCAGAGCGAATGTCCTTCATCTGCTGCCTGTCAGTGAAGCTTTTCTGCCACCCCGACGGCGTTGGATAAAAAGACCTCGTGGGTGTCAGGCACCGAATGTTGCGCACCTCTTCGGAGTCACTTTCCCCACCGATGGGACCTTCCCTTTTGCGGTGAGGGGGGCGGGAATCATCATCACTCTCCTTTTTTCCCGCATCACTTTCCGCATCACTGTCTCTCGGGCTGCCACGGATCCCCAGATGAGAGGCCAAGTCGTAGCGCTGCATGTTGGACATTAGGACTCTGTTCTCATACTGGAGCTGCATGACTTTGCCACTCAGCTCGTTGATCTGCATTCGTGCAGCTTTTAGCTCCTCCTGTAACGCTTCTGTCTTGGCATTGTCATGGTGCCTAGAGCTCTCATGGGCCCCAGACTTGTACTTGTATTTGTTCAGCTCAGCTGTTATACGTTTGTTTTGTTCTTCTAAATCAGCTACATTTCTCCTCAGCAATTCTGTTTCATCTTCTACTAGCTGCAAATGCTGTCGTAATTCTGACAGGGATTCATTCTGCTCTCCCAGGAGTGGGTTAGTGGTCCCTGAGAAATCATCTCCTCTTAAATCATCAAGCTCAGCTTTCAGTCCTCTATTTTCTACTTCTAGTTCCACTATTTTCCTCCCAAGGATGTTAGCTTCCTCCTCCACAAGCCTCAATCGAAGTTTGAGTTCAGCTTCTCTTGTGGTAGGTGGCCCACCTGCTTCACCTTTTGGCAAGGGACTGTCCAAATCCCCATAAAATGATCTGTATTTTTGCAGCTCATGTTCAAATCTGTCTTTCTCTTTATCAATTTTAGCCATTTTCTTCCTCATCAAGGCTGCTTCTTCTTTGACAAACTGTAGCTGGCATTTCAGGTCTTCGTTGTCATCCTTAGGAAAAAAAAGCAGTATTTGAAGAAACTTGAAATCAAACAGGAGACCTCCAGTGGATTGCCTTAACTTACAAGATTATGACAGGTACATGGCTTTAGATACTAAAATAATTTCCTGCAATATTTTTTCCCTGATAAATTAAAAAGAGGGGAAAATACTATTTTACTCGTGACTAAAATTTGCACAGTCCCCAGAAGTACTTTGAGGGGGTGGGAAAAGGGGGACTTGGGAAAAATCTTATATTTACTATGCTTGCAACATTATCAGACTTCAGTGTTCAAAAATCCTGAAGTCAGCACAAATAGAGGCTATAAATTTTGTTTCACTGCTGCTGCCATTTACTTTGCCTAGAATACAGAGTAGGTGAAAGCTGGTAGGTTCTGTTGCATCACCAAGTTTGTTTAGGTGGTCCTTGTGATTAGTGGTGTCTGACTGCAGATCTGGGGTAAGAGCTTTTCCATTTCACAGCATACAGGAAAACAAAGGGCAAAGCAAAAAGCAAGCCAAGAGCAAATATGTAAACCATATACTGCATTTCCATAGTTCTCTGAAATCTCCATACAGGAATCAAGGCTACAGTTACTTGCAACATACCTCTGTTGGTGTCTGCTGTGACTTTTTTTCTGATTTTGGTAGATCTTTGCTTCCTCTCCTTTTCAATAATTGCTGCAATTACAACAAAAGGACATGCACTGAATTTTTTTCTAAAGGAAAATTTGTATATCATTAATTTTAAAATGGAGCAAATCAAATGCCACTATAAAGGAATTAATTTCTTGCAATTTTTGAGATACCAAGTACAGAGGAAAGATGCCATAGTCCAAAAATGAAACAGCAATGGTGCACAAATAAGGTTTTAGTTTAATCAGTCTGTTACCTTTTTTATTCAACACATTTTGAGACTAGTGCATTACGAATATTTAACACATGACAAGAATGGTAAGAAAATGGGCATCCCAAGTGGTAACTTACGGATGGAAAAGCTGAGACAAGCAGTGAAACCCAGCTCGCCCATTTGATATTAACCCTGGTGGGGCCAGGGCACTTCAAAAAAGCCTTAGTCTTAGACTTTGTGGTAGAACAGCTACACAAAACAGTCACTGAGATCTGTGGGCACCTACAAGCATGCCTTTCTCTGTGTCCCACCCTCAGGCTTCAAGCTTGCAGCGTACTTTTGAAATTTAATATTTCCTCCTGCTTAAAATTAATAAAATTTTCCTTTTAATCATTTAATAGGAACCCATCCACTAAGAAAGCAATCATGACCATTTATGAATGCAGTCATACCTCCGTAAGTGCACACTAGGGACAAACTCACACATAGCTCTGATCTCTAGGTTTGTTCTGTTTTCAGATCATTTTGAAGGAAATGCCATTTAAAACTGCTTGGACTACAAAATTCTAAAGAGAAACAAATCATACCAGCTCAAGAACAGAAACACACAAAACACACAAACACAGGCCTGCACCACCATATGAGTGAGATTCTTTGGTGTCCTGTCATCTGCTATGTAGACCAAGAGAGCAGAAAAGAAACTCCTGCTTTCAGAGTAGGATGCACTGGGATTGAAGCCAGCTAGTGTATCCAGCAAAAGGCTTGTAGCTGCTGACAGCAGAAACTTCGTTATGGAAAAGCAGCAGCAGTGGAAAACAACTGCCACCATCCCACTGGCACCACTCAATACTGATCATCAAGAAAACAGCAGGATAGAGGCACGCGAATGAGAGAATATGTTAATACATAACACCCCACTTGCAGCTGTTCCCAGTTTTTGTGTCCCCCAGGTAAACTGTAGACCCCAAGGCAGAACAGTGATAACCAACACCATCTCCTTCTGAGACTGTGCTCTGGTATAAACATCCTGTGAGAAACATTCTCTTCCCTGCACCAGCTAAGGAAGAATCTATCTCCATCTAAAAGCCGTCCAGTTCCACAGACTGGGAATTAAAATATGTTCATAATTCTCAAGAAACAGAGTACAGTGGGTGGGTATGCTGCAAATAACAATCCTGTGCACTGTTTGCCTGCTGGTACTAATCATCCTCTTCCTTCTGCAGATCAACTCTATTAAAAATTCCTACACTCATGGACTGCTCACTAAAAAGGAAAAGTTAATGGCATAGAAAGACTCACACGTAAATCAAATTTTTATGTCTCTTGTGGAAACATTGAATGTTCTCAGTAACCAAACAATAAAACAAATCAAAGATCATAGCTAGATAGCTGTAAAACACAGGCTTCTAATGGAATCCAGAAAAGACATGAAAATAGTTCAATTAACTAATTTATTCCTTTAAGTATTAACCCAGGAACTTTGGAATTCAATCTACAAACAAAATGGTTCTTTTCCAGAGTCACCCACAAGCTATCCTGTTGCAGAAATGGTACATGGATTTTTGAAAGGGTTGTTTTGTTGTTTTCTTTTAGAATTGGCATGTTTATAAAGCCCTAAACCTTCAAAGGAGTAGGTTCTTCCTTCATATTACCATTACTTATCCACTATGTATCACCACTTTGAAAAAATCCTTTTCAAATCAGTTTACACTGAAAACTTTTCCTTGCCCTGTATTTATGCCAATATCACCCACTGACAATAACAGTATTAAATAAATTAATAAATAAATAAGCTATAGCTAAACTATATTTCTGCTTTATTACCTAAGTGCCTTTTGCTCACCTTGTTGGGCTCAGCATCACTCCAGAAATAATGAAGTTCTGGAATGCTGGACTGAAACTTCTTTTGTATCCTATGACTTTTCAGAAGATAAGAGATATAACAAAAAGTACTTTTCTAGGTTTGATGTGAAACAAAACCCCCTGTTTTTCTCCTTTCTTGCTATATTTTTTTGCTGTTCCTTTTAGTAGTCAGGATAGCAACATTCAAATTACAACAGTAGTGTGCTATGTAACGATTAGGCACTACTTTCTATTCTGCTCTACTTGAATTACAACCAACTCTCCAGTGCTTGTATTGTTCACCAACAAAATCCCAGCATTTAGCAAAAATTTTATAGCAGAAAGCAATGAAGAACACCCAGAATTCAATTAGCAGGATGATGTGGGCAAGCAGATTAGGTCCAGCTGGAACTGGTATGATCTCTTTTCATATGAAAATTGTCTCACCATGAGACAATTTCTGATCACTAGAGGTTAAGATCTCACACATCTCAGCTGACAGAAAATATCCTCACAATCACAGTGTTCTACAACACCACGTCAGGGTCCTGAGGCAATGGCAATATCACACTAAACAAAGAAGGCCACAAATCAAGAAGTATATTCTGTTATAAATATTAAAAATTTGCTATAAATACTAAATTTTTGAGCGTTTTTTCCAGATGTACATTTCACAATTTACAGTGGCTACTCTTTCTATCAATTCTCTCAAGCCTGCAGTACTACTGCAGTCTTCCAGTTCCATTTTCAAGATGAAATAAATTATCGCTGCTAATGAAATAAGCAATGATATTCATCACAGCAAAATGGAAAAAAGAAAAAATGTTCAAACTAACATATGGTAGAATGAAAAAATAGCAACTCAGACTCCTGCTCGCAAATCTTCATACTAAACTAAGACTGGCCATTACTAAAATTGTCTGCACATTTTTTGTCACTAAAAGCCACCTCTGCTGCTTTCTCAGTTGTAGCAAAAAATCTGCCCTTCATATGCTAAAATTGTGGGCTCAGATAAATTTTTTCCATATAATAAAAAAAATCCTATTCAGAAGTGTCCACAGCCAGGATAAGACTGCAGATGAGGTTTGTATTAGATGCAAACCAGATCGCACACAAAGAGCAATTCTGCTGCGGTGCTCAGCAGCATCTGTTCTCCAGTGGCCTTCACTGGAGTTTATCCAATGTCTTGCTGGAGATGCTAAGCACTTCTCAAGATGGCATAATCCTTCTCTTGCCAGCCCTAAATTGCAAGCCAAGTGTGCAGCCCTAACATCACCTGTCATGCTCAGTGCTTCTCAGGTGGAAAGAGACCTGAAATCCACTCTGAGAATAACACAATACAGAGATAATTTCATCACGCTCTACTGAGTAGTAAAGCCATAAAATGGACTCAAATTCTTCCTGCCTTATTCTAAGCTACAATCAATTTCTCAGCAATTCTCTAGTGAAGTAGTAAATATTGTTTTCATTTTGTACTGCTCCTCAGCAGTGTTTTTGAAATAAGCCAGTTTAAATATGAAGACAGTGTTGGTACAGCTAATAGGGATATGCTTATTGTTTGCTTTGTGGACAGGGAGGCTGTGCTTTTTGCATCTCAGTTATCCTCTGCTGTTTCATTTGTGGTTTAGTTTTGCAAGCAAGTAGAATACAGAAATATTCAAGACTTCTGCTCCTGAATGGTGGTAGAAGGAGTAAAGTATTGTATCATTCTGTGTACCTGTGCTAATGACAGACAAAACAAGGATCTTGAGCTGGCAAATTGCACTAAGATTTGAAGAATAAGGAAGACATTTTAAAAACAAAGATTTTTTTTTGTTGTTGGCAAATATAAATTTTTAATTTGCCAACATAGATAGTGTCAATTTAGTTTTTATTACATTATATCCAGTGGCAGAAAACTGAACCAAAAAATCTGTCTTGTGTCTGATTTGATCCAGCTCCATGAGTTGCACAGCCATATTGATCAAAGGGAAAATGCAGAGAGAGGCTTAGGGCAAATTTACATTTCCCTGGTCATAGTCTGTGCCACAAAGAGGCAAGTTTGTGCAGCCCAAAAATTGTTCAATATTCACTGACTTTTCAAGACTGTAAAGTTGGGTTTACTCTGATTTCCAAAAGCACTGCAGATTGTTAGAGCAGTTGGGAGTCAGCTAACCATAGCCAAGTACAGCACAGTTTTGTGCAGATGAGAAGGTTTGTGGAGATTCAAGGAGCTGCACACCCTTTGCCCTGTTCTGTGAGGAGGGATAAAGACTGTTATGGGGCCTCTGTGCATGCATAAATCCCTTGATGTGTCAGGAATTCCTCCTGTGGTTCCTACCATGACTTTTAGATAATGTACCCCTAGATCAGGCTTGAAATAATCAAACCTAAGCATCTTGAAAAAATGTGTTAGGTTTTGCTTAAGGATTCTTTATTAATTGCTGAGATATTTATTGTAGCTTAGAATAAGGCAGGAAGAATTTGAGTTCATTTTATAGCTTTACTACTCACTAGAGTGTGATGAAATTATCTCAGTATTGTGTTATTCTCAGAGTATGTTTCAGGTCTCTTTCCAACTGAGAAGCACTGAGCATGATAGCTGATGTTAGGGCTGCACATTTGGCTTGCAATTTAAAATAAAAATTGAAAAAAATAAACCATGGAGAGTAAGAGCTGAAATAGAAGGAAGGTGTTTTATAAGTTTAGACAGCCCCACACCTACTTTTCTCACTCTGGTACCAGTCTGATTTGACATAATCTAAACATGCATCCAATACTTTTCCTGGTATTTCAACAATGGATGGAGATGAGGGGAAGGAGGACATTGCAGTGCTGGCTAGAGCAGGGTGTCCAGCTGCTTCACAAACTTCTAGAAGCACATAAGACCCGTCACTTGATCCCATGTCCTGTCCTCCTAAATAATGACTCTTTCCCCTAACTGAAACTTGCTCAGGTTCTTATAAGAAATGCTTACTCCCAGCAAGGGAATGGGCTGTGACTCTTAGGC